GACGCCCTTCCAAGTTTTTCAGCGTAATAAGAATGTAGTTTAGATTCTGATAAAGCCGACAACATCGATCCGAGCTTAAAGCCACCTGCAGTCTGCCAGCTATATGTGAGGGCAAGCTGGAAATCATAAGAGAATTTTTTTTTTACCTATCTGCGCTTACTGAGTCAGTCTCCGAAATCGTCATTCTCTATGTTTTCACCCTGACGATCTATTCTACGCTTCGGCCGCCATCGGGGCAAAATTCAAAATTCCCTACCAATTGAAAATGTTTATTTTGTCCCGCGCTCATATGACCTTATGCAGTTGCGAGCGCCGTAAAACACGTACCATAAACATTTTTAACAAAAGTTTTACATTGGGCGCATTACAACGATTCTGTCTTTTTTAAAATTCTCTTTTCTTTCTGTCATATATTCATCCGCGATTTATTGTCTTCACGTATACAGTTTCTCAGTTGAAGAATCTATTACCTCCTCTCCCTCCTCCTCCCTCCTTCCCTCCCAACCCTCTCAAACACACTCTTACGTTCCCACAAATAGACGTATTGTGCAATAACATAATATCAGACCTGCAAAGTAGCACAGTTTTTCATTTTATAAACTTACCCTTTCAATTTTTAACGATGTGAAAAACAAGTCTCAAAGAAAGGTGAAAAAGAAGTCAATATGAGAGCTTGAAAAAAAAAGATCGTGTAATGAGGATGTAATGGGCTTTGAGAGAGGGAAATTGAACAACATGGCGTCTTGACGTAAGCCAGTCTACCATTTTAGTTATTCTGCACGCAATACAACTCCCACAGGGCCCACATCTCCTGCTAAGGCCACAGCGATGGCGAGATGGCTACCTCAAAGAACATTAATTTGTTTCTCAGTGTCGTTTCTTGAAGTTCCTGGTCTCCGCTTCAGATTTTTCTTATTTGTCTTGGTAAACGGTCTCGTAAAATGAGAAATGTTTACGTAAAGTGCAGCCACAGTCAACCTTCAATGTCTTGGTGGTTTGTGTTAAGAGCACACAAGACAATAATTGGAAAATGAGATAATTGATGCATGTTTTTGTCCGTGGAATAGTTTGGGGAAAATGATATTAAGATGATTGGAGAACTTTATTTTGATATCTTTATAGTCTGAACGGATCAGTTTTTTTAAATATTTTGTATTTCTTTTTTAAAAATCATTTCCAGTATGCTCGAATGGTGTAGCCAAAAGTAATTTGCTTCCAATAGTTAGCCCGTTTCATACATATCATTAAAAAGAAAGAAAACGTAACGGTTTACGCACTTTAGAAAAATCATTTCTTATGCTTTTTTGGACATTTTCTCCGTATACTTTCTCAACAACCATTTATTTGTTTTAACTTCATCAGCTTTTGAAAGAGGCTGAGTACTTCCGACGTCATCATGAGGTTTCTAAAAAAGCCAATTATTGCCATGCTAGTTACGAGTAATTACTCTTTCTCATTAAAAATAGTACATGTATATCTCAAATATAAACAAAATCTGTGCTACTGGCTACGCTTGCGTCATTATAGCTGAGTAAACAATCTTGTTAGGAGTGTTGGAAGATCTAAACCAGGTCTTTCTAGGCACTTTCCCGTTTTTCAATGTTTTATCGACGTTTGAAGAAATCGGGTATGATTCGACTACCGTATTGCCGGATACCCATTGTATTGAGCAGTCTGTACTCACTGTCATTTCGTACTCACAGTTCTCTCTCTCTCTCTCTCTCTCACTCTCACTGTCTCTCTCACTCACTCACTCACTCTCTCTCTCTCTCTCTCTCTCTCTCTCTCTCTCTCTCTCTCTCTCTCTCTCTCTCTCTATCTCTCTCTCTCCAACCCCCCCCCCAACCGTATTTACATTTTTCCATGAAAACTTTTGATTTGCACGAAACAATACATATCCTTAAATGTAGTGTAATCTTACCTCATTACTCGAATTCCCCAAAGCTGAATAAAACGTTGGAAAGTGAAATCATGTCTGGCTCAATTCACAATCACAGTCATTATCGATATTGATAGACGGCCAGCCTAGATCAGAAGGAAACATTAAATGAGCAGCCTGTTATTGAGGCTTGTTTTTTTCGGTCGTAAAGATAATTCACGTGCGTTTCGTTTTCCTTTCATTATTACACTCCGATGGCCTGTGCTATTTTAAAAAACAACAGCAACTTAAATAAGCTGCCCTTTTTTAAAAATGGTTTTTAAAACTCACTGGGTCTGCATTTTTCTATGTGTGGTAACGTCCTCAGATAAAAAAGTGTCCCAAAAGAAAACTAATAATTCAGTCTACAATAAAGCCAAAGACTTTAATCTTACCAGCCT